AAATAAATAAACAAATAGAAAAAGGAACACAATACCTAAGAAATTTAAATATAATTATGGGGACTGATATTTTTATTTTCAGGTAGCCAGCTCCTTTTAATAAGTGGAAATGTTCTGGTTGAATAATTCACATTGCCTATGAAGGTTTAGATAGGAATCTGTTTAGTAGATCATGAAAATTACTCTTTCTTTTTATCAAATACTAGCAACAATGCTTACGTAAACGGTGGTATATACATACACATATGTGAACGCATGTGACTATGTGTATATAAAATAAAGATGTCGGTATAGTTATAAATGCATATTTAAACATATTTGGAATATCTTCTGCAAAGAATGGCCGCTTAAAAATTGTGTATCATGAATGTTTTGAAGCTGAAAGATACCTTGGAAATAATCTCAGTCCAGCCTCTTCTGAGCTGCTTAGTGTTCTCAGGTCACAGGCAGCAGAATCTGATCCTGACTAAGTTAAGTGGAAATGATTTTATTGAGAGGCTATTATGCGAGTAATTAGGTGAAATTTAGGGGAGAACCTGTCTCAAAAGTGAAGGACAGAGCCAGCTGTGGTAGTGCACATCTATAATCCTAGCTACTTGGGAGGTAGAAATAGGAAGATCTTGGTTCAAGGCCAGCCCAGGCAAAAGTTAGCAAGTCCCTATCTCAAAAACAACCCAAGGCACATATATAATCCCAGCTAGTCAGGAAATGGAGGTAGGAGGATCACAGTAGGTCTGAGGCCAGCCTAGATAGAAAGCACAAGACCCTATCTAAAAATAAGCTAAAGCTAAAGGTGCTGGAGTGCAGCCCAAATGGTAAATAAAGGGCCTGCCTAGCAAAGTTGAGGGCCGAAGTGCAATCCTTGGTACCTCAAAAAATAAAGAAAAGGACCCTTGAATGGATTTAGGCAGCCGGAAGAGCTTGAGAATCTTGTCAAGACACACTGCCACATTGACTGGGTTACCATCCCTCCCCCACCCCATGCTGGTTACCTTGGCATTTGGAGTCCCTGGAGTGAAGCCAGGTCAACTAAACTGGGTGAATAACCCACCCTTTTTCTAGGGAGTCCTTGAATTCTCGCCCCATCCCACCCCCAGGCTTGACACAATGTGGGACTTCTTTCCAAAAGTACCTGGGAGTGCCACCACCTGTGGAAGTCGAGATCTGTGTAGGACAGGCCACTTCCTACAAAAGTGCCTCATCTTCTAAGCAAGGGGACAGGCATCCTGTCCACATGGGCAATAGCACTGAGCTGAAGTTCCAACTGCCTTGTGTCACGTTAACTTACATTGTTTCAAGTCAATGCTCTAATTCTTATTTATTTACAGTTTTCTTTCTTTTCACTCCCATAGGCATTCTTCACTCATAGGAAAACATACAGAGGTGGCCTTGCTTGTCTAAAGCAAGGTTAGACCTCCAGTCCCCTGTGCCATCCCCCATACTGCTTCCTGGGGTACCACTTGAATGTGCCCTTGGGCTCCCAAACTCAAATTATCTGAACCCAAACTCTTTATCTTTCCCCAAGTTTGTTCATCCCTTTGTGTTTTGCAAATTACCAACTACCCATTACCCAATCCAAAACCCTTGACACCATTCTAGCTCCTCCCTTCCTTCATCCCAATATCCATTCAGCCACCAAATAATCCATGTTTTTGCCTCCTAAATTCGTCTTGTTCCCACCTGCTTCTATCTTCCTACTCCTACCCCAATTCCAACCCCTACAACCTCTCCCATCATGAGCCCTGGAGTCTCCTACCTCTTCAGCCTCCTCCCAGGTTTATCCTCCTGCCGTCCTTTCTGTCAGATCAGGTGTGAATTTCAGAGTCACAAACTCAAGGATGCTAAATTGAAAGTCTTTATTTTTTTATAACTTAATTTTAATTTCTGGCCTTGAGCCTTGAGCTCAGGAGTGTAAAAATCCAATCTTGTCACTTCAGGTAGAGTAGGTCCAATTTGGAATTTCTCAGGTTGCTCAGGATTCTAAAGTCTCTTGCTGTGACCCTTTTTCCCTATATAGACACTGCGTCATCCCTCTGACAGCAAATAAAAATATGTAGGAGGCATTTCAATCTCAGTTTCAAAAAGTTAGAGACTTTGTTTCAATAGAAGTATGTCCCATGCAATACTTAAGATATTCTAATATTAAATGTCACTCACTGTTTATCTGACATTCACCTTATTTGGGCAGCTGGGGTGACATAAGGCATGACATCGCTTTGATTGTCACTGCATTTACTTATTCAGCCCCCCCCCCGTCCTCCTTTCTTCTTTGCTAATTTAAATCCAGTTTTGTTGGACCGTATTTGTGTTTCTATACCCTTTGCAACTAGGGAGGGTGACAGGGAACATGGTTCTGGCCAATGGGAACCAAGTGGAAATGTGCTGCCAGTCACAGGAATGCTTTGGTTTTCTTCCCCAAGTCAGGAAAGGCACAGCCATTGCTACCCACGTTCCCTTCCTTCTTGTCTTGAATGTAGACATGATGTGTGGGACTATAACAACCCATAGCAGGGGACAAGCAGGAGAAAGATCACAATAATCCCAGAAATGTCAGCCACTGAACCTGGCCCTCAGCTACCTAACTTTAGGCAAAAAAAAAAAAAAAAAAACCAAACCCCCTGTTTTCCAAAATAGTGGGAAAGCAATGTATCTCTTCCTCATAGCTGAATGCATTCCTAGCCTATGGGGTCCTATACAGGTGACACTGGCCTGAACCCACCCTCCAGAGGTCCCCAGTGATGCTCATTTCAGTATGACTATGGCTTCCTTCAGTCCCCAATTGCAGCCCATAAACAGCCTGTCAACATGTATCTCCTTGCTGTGGCCAGATGACACAGTGGCAGACAAACTGGCCTTCTTTTTGTGTGTCACACACACAGTTCACTGGAATACCCATGCCACTCAAGGGCCATGGGACATGACAGGCCTGGTTCTTGCCCTCTTCTTCCCAGAGACCCTCTATTGCTTGCTGCCTTTCCATGCCTGGTGCAGGACTGGGGAGCATCAGTCACCCTCCTACCTTCAAATCCTATGTGGGGAAGCAGAGTTCAGTTTCTTCTACCCTTAGATCCCCCTGAATGCCATACTGTTGGCCTGCTCTACTCCAAACTCCTCTGTGTTTGACTGGACTAAGGGGCAGGAGAGGACGCAGCCCTTCACGGCATCACCACCACCTCTTCTTAGTCTCCTCTTCCTCCTGGATAGGAAGAAGAAGCAGGGGCAAGCAAAACCCTCATCCTCCTCTCATCCCTATCATAGATGGTTCCTGCTGTCCTGCTGGATGGTGCTGTTTGATCTTTTGACCTGGACCGTGATTTCAATCTGGCTACAATCTGGCTGCCAGGTGGGGGTAGGGTTGCAGCTCGGCTGGGCCTCTCCTTCCAGATGCCCATTCCTGAGCATACTCAGTCACATCCTGTCATGTCCCCTGTCTCCTCCTCTCCTGCCTCTACCAGGATGTCTCTTCCTGGTCTGGGCCCTGCTTTTAAACACACACACACACACACACGCACACACTTCGTATTCTTGCCATTCTTTATTTGTTTTGTTCTATACCTCAGCGGATCCACTTGGCAGGTAGAACCCGGGCAGTTTTGATTTAGAAATTCTGTAGGTGAGTCTAACTTACAGCCAGAAGCTGAGACCCAGCCTTCCAGGGTTCACGTCTCCCAGAGTGTTTCCCATACTTAATTTCACTTGGTTCCTGGAAGAATCCTGGAATGTAAGTGGGGCATAAATGAATGTACACTCCCTACATGTGAGGAGAAGTGAGGTGTAGGAAGATCAGGTCACCTTGAGTCATTCCTGGGTATTGAGACTAATTCTGGGCTCTTCCCACCCCACCCTGAAGTTCCTCTTGCCTGTATTAACATCTCTTGTCAGTGGCCTAAATATTGAGCTGTCTCCTTAAAAAAAAAACAACAAGGTAATGTCATAGGTTTGCAGCACTATCTTTTGACACCTCCTTGTTCTCTTTGTGGAATAATGGCTGACACACAGCTCTTACCCCCTAATCTTGTTTGTTTCTTGCATAGCAAATTTCAGTCATTATTTGTTATTAATCGCTAGTGTGATCTCCCACTGGACTCAAACCCCACAATGACACTGAATCTACAGTGGACGCCCCTAGTAGGAAACCTAATAGCAATGTGTTGAATGACTAGATGGAGTGTTCCTCTGCCACTTTGTCACCATATATAGAATTTATCATTGAAGTTACAAGTGAATCATTTCTTGTTGGATTCTTTGTTTTCTGAGGTGGGGGGAGGGTGCTATGTTATGGGTAACCTGCTATGTTACCCAGGCTGGTTTTGAACTCTGAGGCTCAAGTGATCCTCCTACTTTAGCTTTCTAAGTGCTGGGATTAAGTAAATGATTAACCTTAGCAGGTTAATTAACTCCACCTGCAAATAGCTTTATGTGTAGATGTATTTAGGAATAGATTGCACTAAACATTGGGAAACATTCAATGCAGAAGAAAGAGTGAGCCTCTATAAAACTGTGTTGAAGCTACTTAATACTGAGAACGATTACTAATAAATAATCATCCATTGCATGCCTTTATTCTCCATACTGTCAATAAAAAATTTTTGATATTAAATAACAAGTTTGATTTCTTTTCCTGGCTTATTGGGGGCTTGAGTGTTGTTCATCTGGTTGCTTGCTTGTTGGTTTTGTGGGAGGCTGGTGTATCAAGCATTTTCAACCTTGTCAGTCAGCTAGTTTATTTGTCCTCATCAAAGAGAGCTCAGATCTGTAACTGATATATTTATAATGTAATTTCATTAAAATTACTGTATCTAGATAGCTCCTGGCATCTTTCATTAAATTGAAGTTGTTCAATTATAAGTGTTTGATGCAAAGATCTTTTGATAGCTTTCCTGCTTTCACTGAGGGGGAAAAAAGGAAGCCTGATTCACCCTTTAATTATGAGAGAATGAAAACAGCATGCAGTGGAAAGGATTAGCACAAAGCTTGAGTGTTCTGATTCTTATTCCCAGTTATAGGAACTCATACAAGAAGAACATCTGTGTGGACATGCTGCGAGATGGCTACCACAAGTCCTTCACGGAGCTCTTCAGCCTAATGGAGCATTGGGAGGTCCTGAAGGAGACGGCCAGGAGGAGGTCCATCTTCTGGCTGCAGAGGCCCCTGGAGGAGCAGCCGGACACCCTGGATTACTTCTATTACCACCTGACCAGGGCCGAGGCTGCAGAGAGGAAAGGTGGGTACAGGCATGGGACCCAAGGAAAAATCCCAGGTTGTTCTGTGTAGTAATCTGAAACGTTAAGACCATGTGGCATGGTACAACCTGGTCCACTAAACGAATTTATGGAATAATGACAAGGAATGCTGAATGCCCAGGCTGCCCAGGCACGGGCTACCTGGGGGATGTCATTGCAAAGCAGGGAAGACAATACAGAGCACTTAAAGACATTTCCAGAACTTTCCGATAGATTAAAATCTTTTCCTTCATTAATAATAAACTTTTACATCATTTTTCTCTGTGTGTTACCTGAATATTGACTTCCCTTAGGACATACTGTGTAAGAGAAGTATCATTTCAAAATGACACTGATTTTCTGGCATCTATACAACGAGCTGTGAAGCTTTTTATCATGAAGTCCTATGAGTTTGTATCACAGAAATAATAGAAGTGAATAACACAAAAAGTCAGCAATTCATAATTGTAATTCAAGATGTTAATTTTATATTTCCCATGAAGTCATATTAAATAAGGTCCTTTTTGTATTCCAAGATTTCCCAGAAAGTTAATATATATTTCAAGCACTGAAGAAAATAATTTAATCCCTAGCATAATTATACTGACATTGCCCTAAATATTTTTAGTTACTTATTAGGAATTGATCATTTTAGTTGGTCATCTGTATTCAAAGAAAAAAAAAAAGGAAATCCTAGAATTTGGTGTTCTAAGTTATTTTTTTTCTCAGTGTTTTAGGTGAAAATACCACAGGATTCAAAGGGAATAAAAAACCTTGGATGTGATATGACAATGTCTGTATTTCATTTCAGAATGAAATGTATTTCTGTGGGTGTTGGGCAAATCTGTGTTCCCCCTATGTTACTCTGGAGTGAGGACAGGGAAACAGCAGCAGAAGTCTTTGAGCCCCTGCAGGGAGGTCACCATGTGTCTTCTACTGAGCTGTGACCTGGCTTAAGAATATAAAATATGAACAACAGATAACATTCACAAACCATAGGAAATATGAGAGAAGAAGTAAGTTTATGTTTGGGGAGGACATGTGAGGTCATTTGTCATTGTATTCCTAGAAGAATAACAGAGGTCACAGAATAGGCAAGCACTAAATATATGTTGATTTGAGTTTGATTTTGGACATATTTAGTCTGTGAGGTCACTGGAAAATACAGGTAGAAATGTTGGAAATTGGACTCTAGGAACTTAGGACAATGCAAATCTGTGAAGGTGTTTTGTGAACAACAAAGTCGGTTTTTGAGTCAACACATATTAAGGGAGTGACACAGATCAGGAACACATATTAAGGGAGTGACACAGATCAGGGACAAAATCCTTTAAAGCACTCAGCACAGAAACAAGGAGAGCGAATGGCAGGGCAGAAAACAGCCAGCCAGAGCTGCAGGAGAACACTAGAGCTGAGAATAAAGCCATGGATTCCAGGAAGGAAGGGGCTGTTGAAGAGTCGTGCTGCAGAGGCGCTGGATGAAATGAGGACTTGTTAGTGTGTGTGTTCATGGGATCCAACACCCCATGTTTTTGTTTTCCCTCCTTCCCTGCCATCCTTCTCTTTTTGCCTTGCTTCACTAGCATGGCACTCCCAACACAGCATTAGCATAAAAGCAAAAATATTAAAAACAAATGTGAGCATCAAATATGGTGTGGGTAGGAGGTTGATAGGAGGTGATTGCTGATATTATGAAAAAGTATTTTTATTTTATTTTTTTAATTTTTATTTTTTTATTGTTCATATGTGCACACAATGCTTGAGTCATTTCTCCCCCCTGCCCCCACCCCCTCCCTTACCACCCACTCCACCCCCTCCCTCTCCCCCCCACCCCCTTGATACCCGGCAGAAACTATTTTGCCCTTATTTCTAATTTTGTTGTAGAGAGAGTATAAGCAATAATAGGAAGGAACAAGGGTTTTTGCTGGTTGAGATAAGGATAGCTATACAGGGAGTTCTCACATTAATTTCCTGTGCATATGTGTTACCTTCTAGGTTAATTCTTTTTGATCTAACCTTTTCTCTAGTTCCTGGTCCCCTTCTCCTATTGGCCTCAGTTGCTTTTAAGGTATCTGCTTTAGTTTCTCTGCGTTGAGGGCAACAAATGCTAACTAATTTTTTAGGTGTCTTACCTATCCTCAACCCTCCCTGTGTGCTCTCGCTTTTATCATGTGCTCAAAGTCCAATCCCCTTGTTGTGTTTACCCTTGATCTAATGTCCACATATGAGGGAGAACATATGATTTTTGGTCTTTTGGGCCAGGCTAACCTCACTCAGAATGATGTTCTCCAATTCCATCCATTTACCAGCGAATGATAAGATTTCGTTCTTCTTCATGGCTGCGTAAAATTCCATTGTGTATAGACACCACATTTTTTTTAATCCATTCCTCAGTGGTGGGGCATCTTGGCTGTTTCTATAACTTGGGTATTGTGAATAGTGCTGCAATAAACATGGGTGTGCAGGTGCCTCTGGAGTAACCTGTGTCACAATCTTTTGGGTATATCCCCAAGAGCGGTATTGCTGGATCATATGGTAGATCAATGTTTAGCTTTTTAGTAGCCTCCAAATTTTATGAAACAATATTTTAAACAGCAGGATTGACAGAAAAGTACAGTCTTTTGGTGAACTTTAAAATGCAATTTACATACAGTTTCTCAAGAAATTAACTTTGCATGTGTGTGGTACTAGGGTTTGAACCCAGGGCCTTGACTACTCAACTTCTTGAACCAGGCCTTAGCCCTTTGATTTTTATTTTATTTTTTAGATTCTTACTAACTTTGCTCAGGCTGGTGTCAAATCATAGTCTTCCTGCCTCTGTCTCCTGAGTAACTGAGCCTATGGGCATGTGTCACCACACCTGGCTTCAAGAAATGAACTATTGTAAATAAAAGATGCTACTACACAAAAACTTACTTCCCAGTATGTGCCCAAAATACCAAAGTGATATTTTCACTGGACATAGAATTAACCAAGATAAGTTGGTCATTAGTCATTTTTAAAAGTTGAATTTTATCATTCAACTTTTAAACTAGAATCTTCCATTTGAACAGCACAAACAGGAGCCAAATATCTGACCTGTCACAACTGAGTCAATTGTCATAAAGCATTTTGTAATTCTGAAGCACCTAAAATAGTCTGTTCTAAGATAGAACACATTTCAATTTCCAATCTTTTATTAAAGAAAAGTAATTACATGTATAAATATACTTCTCCAATTTCAAAACCTGACAAAGTTCCAGCTTTGTAACAGCCAATGTCTAATGCAAGCAGTAAAAGAATACTTGATGACTTACTGGGCACCAGTGGCTTATGCCTGTAATTCCAGCTACTCAGGAGGCAGGGATCAGGAGGATCATGGTTCAAAGCCAGCCCCAGCAAATAGTTTGTGAGACCCTATCTCAAAAAACACTCATGACAAAAAAGGGCTGGTGGAATGGCTCAAGGTGTAGGCCCTGAGTTCAAATCCCACTATGACAAAAAAGAAAAAGAATAGTTGTTGAAGTGTTTCTTTGCTGAGTGCTCTGTCATATATTTGCAGTAACTAGGGTTGCATTTGTTAAATTGAAAAAAATTACCTCTTGTTCAGAATAACTCTTCTGTAGGGTCTCTCCTACAAAATACACTGTATTTGCAATAATTTGAATTATTTCAAAAACGTATTAGTGCAAATACTTACTCTAGTTGACCAATACATAAACATTTATATAGTGGTACCAGAGTTTGAACTCAGGGCCTCATTGCTAGGCAAGTGCTAGGCAGGGTCACATGATACAAGTTTTATGCAACACCGAAAGTTTGATAAAATAAGTTTGGGGAACAAACATCAGTGAAGTTGACTTGTCAGAACTTTTAACATGTTTATGTATACCGTGTTTCACTGATAGAAGAAAATTAGCTAGGGCATTTTCCAAATTTATTTCACCTCTTCTTTAGGGATCATGATGGCTAGAAAACACACCAACAATAGATTTTCACCTTCTGAGTATGTCTGCTGACAATTCAAAGGAGTGATCACAGCAAAGAGAAAGGCTACTTAGAATGTGAAGAGTAAAGACCATGGCCACAGAAAATGACCCAGTTACTCAGGAGGCAGAGATGGAATGACCACAATTCAAGGTCAATCCAGGCAAGAAGTTAGTAAATTCCTCCTCAAAAAGCAAGCTATGAGTTCAAGCCCCCATACTGTCAAACAAAACAAAACAAGCGGGGCATGATAGTGCATGCCTGTAGTACCAGCTACACTAGAGGTGGAGATAGGAGGCTCAGAATCTGAGGCCAGCTCAGGAAAAAAGCATGGGACTCTATCTGAAAAGTAACTAAGATGTCAAGTGGGAGAGTGCTTACTTTGAAGGCAGGAGGCCCTGAGTTCAAATCCTAGTACCAAAAAGAAAAATACCTTAACTGACAATTAATCTTTATACATGGAATTCTGATAGCTTATATAAATACAATTCACTGTCTAAAAAAACTTGGTTTGTGAAATGCTGGGAATATTTTATATTAAAGCTTAATTATTAAAAAATAAAAAATAATCACAGGACCTTATATAGAAACTTTATATATACCTCTTATTAAGATAGAAGGTATGAAATATTTTACTTATTGACATCTGAAAACAGTAACTGTAATCAACAAATATAACCAATAATATGAAATGGTAAACTTCAGACTTGGGCCATCTCTTCACATTAGGGGTGGGGCGTGTGTGGGTAGGAAGTTTATGTGAAGGACCAGCAGAGGTTCTAGAAATCTCTTCTGGGACACCAGATTGACTTATTTATGGTTCTTGACACTTATCTTTTGTTGTGTTCCACCATTTTTATTTTTCCTAAGCCTTCGAGTTCTTCTCCTAAGTTTCCTCGTGGGCAGTATTTCTACACCTGAAGTCCCCTAGGGAATGGCTATCTGGTAGCAGTGAGCAATGTTTCACTCAATTCTTGTACATAATGATAGTTATAAAAAATAGGTGGGGGGCAGGAATGCAGAGGCCACTACATTTTACAAGTGTGCTTTAGGAATAAATGGAAAAACACAGGACACTTTGCACATGTTCCCATCCCCTGTTAGAGGGGGTTTTATAGGACTGAGGCCCAATTTATTAAAACAAACATTTTTGTTCAAGTTGACGACTACAGTGGGGTTTGGGAGACCAATTCACAATTTATTAGCATACTTTTTTGTATAAGTCAGATGCCCCTTAGGGAAAAACCTACATGGTTGTAAGCGATAAACTACCAACAGTCTGAATAAAAAGAATGACCAGTGTGTATGTATTTTCAATGGAAAAAAATCTCCCAGAAAATAGAAGCATACAAGTCTCCTCTTTCTTGGCAATGTTAGAAACGTGTGTTGCTGCAAACTGCCAGGAATGACCAAAGCCTACTGGTCATCTGATCATCGCTCCCTAAACCCATCAGCCCTGAGTGAAAACACCTGACTCTGTCCACTTCCTTTCTTATTCCTTCACTTACATTATTTTTGTCATAGTTAAGGAACATTCCTTTCTTATCTTCTTAACTTTCTTGGCAATCTCTAAATATTTTCGGACCTCCACTGGAGGAAGTAGTCAATGATACCATGTTCTCGTTATTCAGAAGAGCTGAGTACCGTACTAGTAGACATTGACCTGTCCTGTCTGTTCTCTGAAGTCTCCTGTTTGACCCAAACACGTTGAGAAGTTCTCGGAAAAGTCTTTATGGCTTTCTTCAAGTACACATCTTTTCACTAATGTGATTATTAAGATTTTCGAAAGTGATAGCACAGCTTAAAAGAAGTAAAAACACGCTTTCAAAGAAGAGAGTGGGTAATCTCAGAGATGATGTCATCATTTTAATAGTTACAATAAATTAATTTCTGCCTTTAGATTTGATTTTTAAAGCATTTAATCACTTAAGAAAAAGCAGGGAACTGGCAGAGTGGCTCAAGTGGTAAGAGCACCTGCCTAGCTGGCATGCATGAGGCCCTGAGTTCAAATCCCAGTGCCATAAATAAATGAAAGAAAGAAAAGAAAAAGCAGAGTAAGTGTCCCAATATTAGTGTGCCAGTTGCAAGACTGTGCCATAGTCATCTTTCTAACAGAGTTCTTGATGCTCTTCTCTGTCTCCAAAGGATACTTTGAAGATGTATACAGTAACTTGTATGCCCTGGCCTGTTACTTCACTAAGTCTGAAGACAAGTGGGTCAGGAACCATTTCTATGAACGGTGCTTTAAGATTGCACAGCTGATCAAAATTGACGGTGGGAAGAAAGAAGCTGAGGCGGAGGCGCACATGGGCCTGCTCTACGAGGAGGATGGTGAGTGGGCATTGGCCAGGTGACCCCAAACCAGGTGGTCAGAAGCCACCTGAGGGTAAGAATGAAAATTACTGAGGCAACAAAGCAAAGGCATGTGACTTGCCAACCAGCCTCAGGATTCCTTGCAGAATATTCCTGTACCATTTTCATTTGTTTTTTCCTTCATGAGAGCTCTTTGTCCATTTTAACGTGACTCCTCATGTACAGAAATGTTTGGATTTTTCCTAGTGTTCCCCTCCCTTATCAAAAAGTCCAGGAACCAGGAATATAACTCAGGTTATATCAAGATTTCATAATAATTTCTGAAGGAAATACTCTTTTAAATAAATTTAACTTCATACTTAATGTTATCTTAAGATGAACCAAAGACTAAAACAACAGCAAAATGGTCAAAACACTTTCCATGATGGCTGATGAAGGATTGCACACAGGAATTCATTGAAATTATTTCTGGAATGATGGTGTGTAGATGATATACAAAAAATATACAGGGAAATGTGAATAGGTATTTCATTTCCCAAAAACTTTGGCAAGACAGTTAAACAATTTTCAAATATTATTTTGTGGCTAGATCTGCAGGAAACTTTGAAAAATAAAAATTTAAAAGAATTTAGAACTGAATTTATACTCCAGAAGTTAATGAGATTGTAACCTGGAGCATGGAAGGCCCTGGAAGGTGTTCAGGGGCTGTCTAGTGTGATGGACATGGGGAATTCAGAGTGGAGTGAGAGGTCACATGGGCTGGGGTCAAGGAAGGTAGGGTGGAATCCAGAGGCACTGGTGGGGGATGTGGAAGACAGGTGAGATTTAGGCAGGTAAAGAAATAGGATTGTGTTCCCTAAGAGGAACCAGCATACAAGGAAGCAGAGTTAAAGGAAAGGACAGGAGGAACGACCCTCTTAAGTGGAAAGTGGACCTGTGATGGGCAATTAGAGTGAACTCTGGGACAGGCCAGTGTTCAGAGTCTGGACTCAACTTCCATTCATTCAGGGTCAGGAAAGGACTGTGATATAATGCCAGCCGGTCTTTGTTGTAGGCTGTGGGAGAAGGGAAAGAGGAAGGGGATGGTTAAGAAACTGCCATGATCATAAAACTTGGAAGAGATTCTTGAAAGGGATTTAAGAGTTCAATTTACAATATCTCGAAACAGAGGATTAGTTAAATGTATAAAGTAACAGCAACATGTTGCTATGTATAAACAGAGTTCTGCAAAAAAGTTCCAAGAAGTCATGAGATTTACAAATTTGAGGAACATTCATTCATTCAATGAACACTGATTTAGAACCTGATACCAGGTAATAAATCAGTGAACAAACCAAGTCCTTGTCCTTGCAACTTTCCATTCCCAAGCATATGGTTTAGTAATGTTAAGTCTTTGAGCAACTCATCTCCAGAACAGCAAGTTGTAAAACTGAAACTTTGTGTCCCTATCTTGGTTTTTTTTTAAATTTCTGAAGTTATTTCCATTAGAAGATTTATACATTGGTTCAGACATTCATTCACTCATTCAACAAACACTGGAATGTCTCCTAGCTCTCTGGCTAGCAGCCAGGGTACTGTGGTTGCCTGTCTTATGTCAGTGACAGACACACAGCAATTGAGAGCAAGGATGAGTTTGGGAATCGTGATCGAGGTGGGGCTGCGTGCTATGACATCCAAAGGTCTTTGGCTTGCTCGCATTCACTATGGGAAACAGGACATTTGGGCTTTGACAGATTTTGAAGACTTTTGCCTTTGAAATTATATTCAAGTTAGAGTCTGTTACTTTGTTTTGGAACTACCTTTTGTCAGATCTTAAAGCCTGTTTTCTATGCCTTTCAGTAGTGCATAGGCCCTAGAACCAGGCATTCATTGCAACTGAATCAATGTTGATGAAAATTTGAGAGATGACTTTGAGCGAGGGTTAAGAGCTTAGTCTGGGGTAGAATTTTCACCAGAAGAGCACATTAGGAGGATTACATATATGCGGGCAGAATGGAAGGGACTCACCTGGCTGTGGGGCTCCCACTGAGGCCATGGTGGTGTCATTCTGCACATCTGATTTGATTGGTCCAGACAAGCAAATGGAGGCCCTACAGCAACAGCTAGGCGGCAGCTGTGCTTAGGGGCAGGTGGCAGCCCCATTCAGGTTAAAAGAGAATGTTAGCCAGCAGATGGCAATGGGCAGGTTGTCAGGACCTGACCAAGCAGGCTAGAGTCCAGGGCAGGGCTCCAGCACCCTCAGGGAACTGTAGAGCAAATGAGGAACATGAGCCGAAGCCATTGTCACAGAGCATGGGCACATGGTTGCAGTCAGGGGTAATGTTCAGCCCACTGGCACAAATGTGACCAGGCTCCACCCAGAGCCCCCCAGCCAGAGTCTAGCACAGCAGACATATCCGAGTCCCCACTGCTGTTAATGGCGGCCCTAGTATACAGTGTGGCCTGGTTCCCATCGCTCAGGGGCTGGCAGTCATTCATCATGTCAAGAACCTGCAGACCAACAGTAGGCAAGTAGACATGGGTAGAAAATCCCTGGCTCCATCCCCTAGAATCGGGATCTTATTTGTAAGGATCTTACCATGCAAGCAGGACCCATGGTAAGCATTATTCAGACCCCATCTGTGCAGCACCAGAGAAAGAGCCCAGTACTGGATCAGTGAGAGATGTCCTTCTGGAGCATTGCTCTTACATCCAGCAGGGCCAGATGTCAGACCCTGGGAGAGAGAGGACTTTTTCCAGACATGATCCAGGAAGTGCCAGCTAAAGCCTGGATCCAAAAGCAAAAGCAGCTGCCCTGGAACAGCCTTAACTTCAATCCTCTCCTGCTCGGACAGCAATAGCAGCTGGGTGCAGCATCCACCCCTTCCCTGGCAATACAAGGAGACAGAACAGGGGTCCACGCCTTCCAGCTGCATCTTTACTGGTGAGGCGTGGGGGTGAGGGAGAGATGCAAACCGGCTGCAGGGCTAATCACAACAGTGTTCACGGCACTGATCAAGACCTTGATTTTGACCTTATAGACCTAAACACTGAGGCTGGCTTGTTTCTGTAGAGACTGGCAGAAGGCCAGTCTCTCTCTGGGGCTGAGCTTTAAGGGTTGGTGTTGGACACATTAGCTCTTTATTTCAATCCACCCACAGATCCAATGGTGGTCCACCATTAGACCTCTAGGCTTTGTCTCCCAGCTATCCAGCAGCCCATTCCTTTTCACTCCACTGGCTTTGAGTCCAGGTATAGACTCCACTGTGGGAGGCTAGGAGGATGATTCCATGTCCTCTTGGATGGTGGGTGTGGGTATGAGGCTATTCACTGAAAATAAGCAGGGGACTCCATTGTAAGAACAGTAGGAAAGGCACATTTCCAGTTGTGAGGGCCTCGTCTGTGACACTAGCATAGGGCGAGGAAAGGCTACCCTAGATCTATATAGCATTGACCCCCAAACTCTTCACTGACTGGGGAACTTCTGAAGAAAGAGCCAGTTGTCCTGGCTGGCAGGTGCTAGACAGGGCATTGCAGTGTCAACACGAATGTTGTGAAGACACAGGGGAATGACCATCAGCTAAGCATCCAGGAGTGGAAGGCAAGTGCAGCAATAGTGGTGGAGGGGGATACCACTCTTAGGGACTGTCCCCTTGGCCATTCTGATCTCATGGAGAGGAGTTAGAATTTGTGATCTCATGTGTCTCTGTCACGACACCATCATGCAAGTTGGTGGGCTGCATCTCATAATATCTGCTGTACCCATTCTTTAATGATCATGTAGAAAATGTGTTCCCACCATGGGCTTTATTTCCATGAATTTTATGAGGGGCAGCATAATTCGGTCTTCTTCTTAGTAAAGTAATTATCTCATCCTGGGTAACTTCCTTCAATAATTTGAAAAATCAACAAAGTCTCTCACTGAGACCCTTATGCTGCAAGTCTCTCACTCCTCAGGACTTTTTAAAGCTAGATCCTGCGAACAATCACTACCTCTTGGGCAAGTGTGGTGGTACATGCCTCTAATCCCAGCTACTCAGGAGGTAGAGATCCAGAGGATTGATATTCTAGGCCAGCCTGGGCAAAAACATAATAAGACCCCATCTCAGTCAATAAGCTGTGTGTGATGGGGTGTGCCTGTCATCCTAATTACATGGAAGGATGTAGGTAAGAGGATTGTGGCCTGAGGCCTGACCTGAGTCAAAGCATGAGACTCTGCCTGAAAAATAACCAGAGCAAAAAGGACTGATAATGTCTCAAGTGATAGAGTGCCTGCTTAGCAAGTATGAGACCCTGAGTTCAAACCCTGGTACTGTGAAGAAAAAAATAAATAAAAACCACTAACTCCTGAAGGCTGATCGCAACATTACACATAAACTCTTCATCGTTCAACGTGAGTCATTGATCTATCTCTAGTCCCCTGCCTTGCTTCCAGAAGGCCTGCATTGATGTTAGTTTGCTGGGACAATGGCCTCACTGACAGCAGGCCTGCTGCAGCACTGCCCTGAGAGGTCTAGAGTGGAGCTGAGCTGCAGAGGCAGGAGCAGGAGCGCTCATGCAGGTCTTCCACTGCTCCGCAGGGTGCTGTGTGATTGCAGAGGTATTGCCTCATGCTTGGTATGGTCCAAACCCACACATAAGAGTACTATGACATAGCAGACCCTTGATGCATGGCCTATTCTGCCAGCTCAGCATTCATGGCCTGGTGCATCCTCCCTTCCTCTGTGTGACTGGCAAAGGCAGGGGTCAGGGGATAGGGACAGGGCTGAGGTAGAGGCCTTGTGTTCGCAGCCATACAGTATGGCATACAGATAACAAGACTTGCCACATAGGCTTTCATACTAACCTCACCCCTGTCAGCAGAGAAAGACAGGGTTCATCTAACTGGTTTCTCTGGCTCAGGCTGAACTCCATGACTTTTCTGAAAAGCTTGCCTGCAGAGGCTGGTTCTGGGGAAGATAACTTTGCCTCTCGAATCAGATAGTTCTGTATAAAGAGTGCTCTCCTTAAAAAGAGGGGTTGGTACAATGAAAATGAAT